CAGCACGGCACATCGAAATTCAACCGGAACTCGCAAATTGCTGTTAATAACAACGCCATTTCCGCGTTAATAATGTTGATCGGACTGGGTAAAAACGTGCCCACCACCGCTGGGGAAACGCACACGCCCCATCGGCACACAGGCGGCAATTTCATTGCTTGGAAAACACGATATTTCCACGCTGAACTCTCCGATGCTCGTGCGAAAGCTTACTTGAAATTAAAACACTTACGAACAACAAGTCTTTTTAAAGCGGAAACAACAACGTCTCGACCGAAATAAAATGTACTCGCGGCCGCGGCACTCGCTGTTGAATTTAAGCGAACGATGTTGTTTCATGGAACGGGGTCATCGGCAAATGCTCCCTTGAAATCAACAGCGCAAACAATAGGCGATATTTTCTTTAAATTTTCCCATCGCGACACGCGCACAACGTCGCATATCGTGTAGATTCACCCTCCGCAATCGTCTCCCTGCATTCCATGGGTCTCCCCTGCATCTCCAGGTTCCTCGAAAAAGCGATGACGCACTCCTCGCCTCATAACTTGGACGCCCGACGAGAGAATTCGACCCTCATTGCCTTTCCGAACTCCAAGAGCCTGAAAAGTCGTCCGTATTCGACACTCGAATACGGACGCGAAATCAATCCCGCTTTTTCACAGACAGATTGCCGTTGTGATTCTCGAAGCGAACGTTGTCGCGCGCGACTAACGTGACGATATACTCAATCTTAATATCTCAGAAATGGCCGTTCATCGGATGATTCCAGACGGTCAGTCTCGCTGCTATTTATCCGGTCAGGAAGCGTAATGGCGGATAGTAGAATCTTGTTACTGCACCGCGGTGATATCGCCGGGTCATAGTGATTCAATAATTCAGTAGCACGCTCCCCGCCAGCGCTATTTCGTATCTCGAGGGCGCTGACCCACATATAGTGGGCTGCAAATGAGGAACGGGGCAAGGGGAAGAGAAAGGTGAGAGAGGAAGGGGGGAGAAAGAGAGAGAGAGAGAGAGAGAGAGAGAGAGAGAGAGAGAGAGAGAGAGAGAGAGAGAGAGAGAGAGAGGACACGCGGAGGTGCCGGGGACACCTCTCGGAGCCACCGGCCTCGCCCATATCCACAAGTTGTCCAGGGCACGCGGTACCCGGAATTCCGAGAGACGCTGCCTTCTCTCCCGCGTTGAAAGCGCATAGCGGGACTCGCGCGGGAACAATGAGAGTCCGTCCTCGTGGTGAAACAATGACGAAATGCTCCTCGGTTAACCCTCTCCCCCTTTCCCCGACCCAACTGGAGATCGCGTCGGACCGCGCGAATCTCTCGGTCCTTTGTCCTGTAATTGCTGGCTCGGCGGCGATAAGGCGTATCTCAAACGGCGAAGGGAAGGTGGCACGCTCGACCGCGTATCGAGCTCCAATCGCACCGCCAACGAGTACCCTCCCGGCGCCCTACATACACACGGTACGATCGTAACAATGTTTTAATGGCCGTATCTGCCGGCCGAGTGATTAGGGGATAATGCTTCTGCCAACGGGACGGCGGCGGCGGCGGCGGCGGCGGCGACATCGTGTATATCATCGCGATGTGGGATAAATGTGGCAGAAGAATCGTTGCACGGCAGAAGTCGCGTCGCTCTGGCTCCGAGAGAAACCACTTGCCGCGAAAATTCCAGCTCCGCAAGCCGCCATTAAGTGTTCCGGGTACCATTTAATGTAACTCGACTTCTCTCATCCGATAGCTCGCGACTGTGATCGTCCGTTCCTCGGCGAGAGATTTCTGCGCGACGGCCAATACTCGGGGAGAAGGAAAGTATTTTCCGACCCGGTAGTAGTTGCGATCAATCTTCAACGTCACACATCTCTCAGGGACTCCTTCATATCCCGTTCACGTCTTTCATTTCGATCTTCTCTTTCTCTCTCACGACGACACGATCAAATGTGCGTCTGCGAATTTCGGAACACTCGGTATGTTGGGGCCGCCGTTATTTCAGAGTTATTGAGGATCGAGAAGAAGTTAAGGTGGCTCGAGAGAGATTGCGCGAACCTCGTTGCAACCTTTGAAGGACGTCCATTCGGCACGGGTCTTTGGGAAATCCTTGGCTTCCAGAGCAACAAAGGACTGCGGAGGATTTAGGATAATCTCGAAATCCCTCGGAGTGTATACCCGCGTGTATAGCGCTAAAACGAAGTCGTGTGCTGTAGAGTCGAAAAAAAAATCGATACGAGCGGTTGCCGCAAGTGTGTCACTTGTAGTACCACTTGAAAAACGACAAACTGATTAAACTGATGAAACATGTGAGATGTTTTTCGCGTTGAAATATTTACCCGCCGCGCCGTCTCTCAACAAGTTGGCAGATATAATTAAGAAGAATTAATTAATGTAACTTTTGTTTATTTCGTTCGTATTATTGATTATTTTATAATACATTCTCCGGGCTTTGCGGTATCGAACGCACGATTTAGGAAAGACACTGATCAAGCTTACATGACGAGAGACACAGTTACATTACAAAAATATACGCGAGTGCGATGAATTCTGTCGCGACGTCGCATAATAAAGCTCGTGCGAGAGCTGGCGCCTTCGTCGTCTCATGGATAAGTAACCGAAAGTAATACACTTTCGTCGCGTACGCAAGTTTTCGCAACATGTTTTCCACATTAGCGAGCCGCGCCGGCGGCATCAGAAAAAATGTCGGAAGTACGTGCAGCCGACACGCGAATTCATTTCCGGCGCTGCTCACGGAATCGTGGACACGCAAAAGCGCCGCCGTTCCACCTTCGTCCCCGACCTACCCTCCCAACCAACCCCGCTCTGCCCCCTTAAATCCCGCGGGAACGTCCCTAAAATAATCCCGGGCGCAAAACGTGTCGTTATAAAAATTCCATCGTCTCTCCTCGCGAACGACGGCACGAGGAGAATTTTGTGTTCCGCTACGCCGACGTTTTTCCCGTCCTACGCTCCCTGTTCGTTCCGCCGCCGCCACCGCCGCCGCCGCCGCCGCCGCCGCCGCCGCCGCCGCCGCCGCCGCCGCCGTCGTCACCATTCCCGGCATCGCGCGTTAAACACGCGGACCCGCCTCTCGTAAATCCGACTCTTCATAAATTTTTCATCGAACTTCGAGGAGCACGTAACCTCGCCGCGAAGAGAAGTGCGTAGCCCCGAGCGACGAGAGTACTCGTCCCCTATCGATTCCGCGCGACGCGTCGTTGCTCTCCGCCTTCAGACGACAGAGCCGGCGGCAAGCGTCGACGTTAATTGTCGCAGTGCGTAATGAGACGCCGACAACGTCGATAAGCCGCTGTCACCGCGACGTGAAGCCCGGCACTCCGTTGTCAACGAGAGAAGAGTTTCGCGGTAAGGTTTCCGTGTGCGCGCAGAGCAGGACGATGCGCTTCTCGCTTTCCCCAAAGGACTGCAACTCATATGTTTCACGAAGCTGGACGACCGCGAACAATTAATTACCGATAATTGCCTGCACGATTCCTCAGAGGAGTGCTGTCGAACGAACTGAAATGAGGCGATCGTTCATTCGATCGAATACATCGGGATGGTCTCCGGACGCGTGTTTGTTCTCGGTGATGTCGAAATAAGACGGGATCCTCGCTTGATAACGAGGATATGAATGTGTGGGAGCAGCCGTGACAAGCGAATGAATCAGAATTATAGAGGAATTCTCGCGTAATTAAAAGGAGCGTCTAGACTTTGAAGCGCGCGATAATAATATATAATACGGATCTAGAGAGAAAATAGCTTGTTTGTACTTTGATCCGGTATGTGTAGCGCGCGCTTGTAAGACCACTCACGGATTAAAAATGAGCTCGCAAAAGCGCGTGCCCCTTAGTTATGAAAAACATCTGTTTGGCTTTAACACGAAACTTCGGCGAGTTCGTGTTCGCGTCCGGTTAAAATTGACCGGCGGACGCCACCGGGGAGCGGTCGCATGGCTCGCGCATATTAAATCGTATATACCGCGGCGGGCAACACAATTTAGCTCTCGCACAATGGATTCGTTCCGCGCGAATTCCCGCGTACCGTAAAATCGAACGCAACGCCGCGCTCTGAACCGCGGAAACAATATCTCCTGTGGCTGCCTCTCATCCGCGCTTTTTCCATCTTCTCGTCTCTTTCTCTCTCCGTCTCTCTTTTTCTTTCACTCACTCACTCTCTTTCTCTCTCTCTCTCTCTCTCTCTCTCTCTCTCTCTTCTCTTCTCTTCTCCACTCTCGACCTCCTCGACGCGCCGCGCAGCTTCTCTTTTGCTTGCCACCAGCCTCTCCTACGTTCTCTTCAACATCGCGCCGGTGGCAGGCGACGAGCGCTTTGAACTTTTCCAATTTTCATGCGATGAGATTCAACTACGGAAGCGAATGAGACGCCGCTTGTAATGTATGAGAAACTATCTTTAGTGACTCGCGCGCTACTCTTAGCGACGTCGTTAAATGATGATGATGATGTTTACTGCCGCGTATGTATTAATAACGAGGAGATCGCGAATGAATGATACGCGCCAATTGAACAGGGAGTGAATGTAAAAAGGCTCCGCTTCTTTTAGAGCGATTAAAGTTTCATTTGCTGATCTTTGTACGAAATGGATGTACAAAGTGTCTGAATTTAAATGTACGAGCGGTCGTGTGCGAGTAAATTGGATTAAATTGATTAAAAATGTTCTCTACCATACCATACATAAATAACCGCGTGAAATTCTGAGATTGTGTTATTAATGAAAGAATTTGCGAGACAGCGAGCACAGGAGTTTTTTATTCAGTTTGATTCTCTGTTCCTGCATACGACAGGTCTCCGAAATGTTCAAACACCTAACAGAGATTGAAGCGCTACGTAGTAACGAGCAGAGTTGGCCGTGATTCTTCGTAAAATACCCAATATCGGTGCTCCGCGCGATCGTGACGTTGAGCAAAAGTTACATACGTAGCGAATATCGTTAGGATTATCATTGCCGACACGTGCGTTCGTCGATCACGAATAACCCGTTTATCTCTGATTTCAGGATGCCGACCGCTGAGAGACACGATCGCGCCGTCCACGTAATCCAGGAGAAATTATCCCGGTTCAACACGTAGGTAAGTAGCGCATTAAACTGACCTCGGCTGCGCTGCGACTTAAAATTCAATTGCCCGGCTGCCACTTAACATGCCGCGGGCAACGAACCGCAAATTCTTGCCGCGCTGCGGATGCGGCAATTCCATTACGACGTTCGTTAAGCACGCGGCACGAAAGAAAGATTTCCCGAGGGTACTTAATAACGTAATGAGATTGTCGCAACGTACGGCGTCACTGTTGACAATGTCCAAAATGTCGCGCACGAAGATAGTCACGATACACGATCCCGCGGATATACGATCGCAATCGACGCTTCGACTATATTTCAGCGTGTTTTGTCCGCCCCTATTCCCCCTTCTAAGCGAAGGTAATCACTATTTATTCGCCGCAACGATACACCGGCGATTCCGTTTGGGTTTAGATGTATGAATGCGGTTTCGCGTTTGGCGATTCATTCGATCGCTTTAATACTACTGATTTTCTACTTAGCTGCACGCGTAAATGCGCGACTATTCAGCCAAAGTGATTAGCATTATCGTCCTTTCCTCGTTGACTTCGGTATATATTCTATTTTAATGAGGCGTACGATGTTAGAGGCGTGCATTCCTTGCCGAATATATCCATCTAATTTAGCGGCTCGATTATCGGCCTGTGTCTTGCGCAAGTTTTGAAATTACGCGCGATCACCGCACGGGACTGATTACAGCTCATGATACACACACACACACACACACACACACACACATGTATATAGATGGATAGATAAACAGATAGAAAAGGAAGGAGGGTGGAAGATACACGCAAATTTAATGCATCCTTGTATGTGCATGTGTACATATAATGTGTACATATAAGTCTGTAAAGTAAGAGCGTGTACGGCATAAATGGCAGTTGACTTCAAATATCGTCCTAGTTTTTTTGTGTGCCGATAGATGAAATCTTTGTCATGAATGCTTTGTCACAAAAGATTCAGTTGGCGTCGAACTCTAACCTGAGAAACACGTTAATCGCCATGAGTGCCGCATACGCATCGCGCTACGAGGCTGTGTTCCTTTGTTCCCACCCCAAAGGACCAAAAATGTCATATGCAGTGGCCATCGCAGTCGCCAGATGCAAATCCCATTGAAAATGTGTGGGCATATCTCAAGCACAAGCTTCGAGGAAAAAGAGTGTGCACTTTGAAACAGCTGACACGACAAATTCGTCTCATTTGGAGGTCTTTACCGAACGAATACGCAATCAACTTAGTGGAAAGTATGCCTCGGAGATGCCAGGCATTATCAATGCCGATGGTGACTGGACTTATTATTAATGGTATAGCATTTTTCTTCTCATGGAGTACAACAAATCCATGTACTTAAAAATCATTAAAAATAAATTTTTCTATTAACATTAACCCGTACACGCTCTTACTTTACAGACTGTATATATTTAAAGTGTAAATATATAATATAATTTGTTTGAAATAGCTGTATCAGCTCGCGGTCCAATAATCAGACCGAGATTAGTACAAATGACGTATTACGGATTACCGCACTAGGTAGCTCTCATGTGTGCGGCGCATTATTATTATATATTTAATATCTCACGTTCAAAACACATGTCGACGCAACGCACTACAGAGCGCCATGGCGTGCTGCTCCGATAGCTATGGCGAACTTTGCGCATGCATATTCAACAATTATTCAGCCGTCATTCGCCAGCACTGATTTCACGTTACCTCACTCGTCTCAAAGTCGCGCCCCCACGCGCCGGCTTGCCGCTCCACATACCTTCTGTCGAGGAGGATGAGGAAGTCCAGACAAACACCCTCTGCGCATTCTCGTCCGGAGTTTCATCTTGACCGAGACGAGGCTTCCGCGTGTCGCGTAAGCTCGGCGCGGCCTGGGTTTCCGCGCGATTTCAATTACCTAAGCCCCGCATGGCCTGAATTCGGCGTCGCGCAATTAAGGGGAGAAGGCGCGAGAGTGCGCGAGACCTCCGCGTCGGGATCTTGAATTAAGCGTTCTGGCCTGCGCGATGCCAATTACGTCTCGATCCACTCGGTGGCCCGCTCGCGTGCGTTCGCGAGCGGACACTTTCTCCATTTACTTCGACGTTACGTAGTCGGGGGTGTACTTACCTACCTACCTACCTACCTACCTACCTACCTACCTACCTACCTACCTACCTACCTACCTACCTATCTACCGTCCGTCGTCTACATCCCGGTCGATTTACGGCCGAGCGAGAGAGCAAACGAGCGAGGGAGCGAGCGAGCAAGCAAGCGCGCGCCGGCCAGAATTTCATTTCGAAGAGGCGCATTCGGTATCCTCGGGGAGTCGTCCGAACCCGCAGCTTCCCCGGCAAATTTAAAGGATGTCCGTCATCTTGACGGATCTCACGCGCCGTCCCCCGACGCCGTAAAGGTGGATTTAAGGGGATGTAGGTACAGCCGGGACCGGAAATGTAACCATATTGTATCGACACTAGACGAGCTTCGCGCCACTTGTCATGGTCTCTGCTTCGGTGGGATCTCACCACCGCGGCAGGAAGAGATCTCCGCGCTGTGTCGTAGCTGTACGTGTTTCGATCTGCGCGGAGAATATCCTTTCTTGTTCCCGCATCTCCCTCTTCTCTCTCTCTCTCTCTCTCTCTCACTATTATCGCCAGTAGGGATGAACAGCGAGGAATTAGGTTGCATGAATTACAGAGAGACGTCACGGATGTATTTAACATTGCCGGTGAGTGGGCGTTCCCGATATGCGTTCCATGCATATCTGTCCGGTCTGACATTGTTCTACCTCGTTCAAATTACACTCGCACTTTGGACACTCGATCATGAGCGTTTAACTGAATTGAAAGCGCGAGCTGAAGACGGGGAAGAACATTTAACTTTCGGTTTGTTTTTAGACAATTCTACGATGTGACGTGTTTGTAATATCGGCGAAAGTTTAAGCACTTTGTTAATTACATCCGAACGGTTTCCCGCTGCAAGAAACTTGCAACTCTCAAATTAACGTCTGAAACGTTCGAGCATGTTTGTACGCGCGTCCGATTAATTCGAAATTCATCTCATCCGGGAAAGTGAAGAGAGCGATCCGTCGGAGAACGCGGCGGCGGATTGTGCAATCCGACTCGACATCGCGCGAAACTCGGTCGAATTTTTCGATCGGCGCTCGCTCGGTCGGAACCATTGTTAGGTTATGATCGTTGGACAGGAAATGGACATTGTGTAACTCGTTAACAGGCAGTCGGGGAAACGAAAAGAGCGGGTGGTAGATGCGCTTGAAACGCGATCGTTACGGCGGCATCTGAAATCCGCGCGCGCGGCAGACAGGCCCGATTACGCGCCCATACGGTATTACCGTGTGAAATTACATGGAAAATCGGTCCGCGGACCCTGATCGCGCTCTCTCGCGTTGACCTTAATATCCGCGGCTCTCCACCAAGGTGGAAAAGGGGCCGCTCTATCGCGGTTCGATACTCGAACGGGCTGCATCCGCCAACAATGGGAAGTGCAAGCCAACGCGAGCATGCATGCATGCATGCATGCATGCATGCGAGACGAAGCGAGGCGGCGCGGGCGAGGGGACCTGGACCGGGCGGTATCGCGTGGACACGTGCACGCCACCAAACCCACCCACGTGTGCACCACGTCGTGAGAATGTGTGCGTGTTCCCGTGACCGGACGAATCGCTCGGGGGATACAACTCATGCGTCGCACTCCCTCGCAGCCGCGAGAAGTTTTGGCCGGACAGAAGGAAAACCGCGGTGGGCGCTTGGCGATATATGCGAAACGTTATTGCCCAGATAAGGCCATTGCGGTTTTGCACGTCCGAGCGATTCGCCGGTACAGCGGTATGAATAACTATCTATCTATCTACCCATCTACCTACCTACCTACCCATCCGCCTATCCACCTATATCTACCTACCTACCTACCTAGCTACTTCGCTGAGTGCGATTACCGGTTACGAAAAAAGCGAAATGCGCCCGAGAAAGGATCACATGCGCGGCTCGATCACTCACCTTGAAGAATACGCGGAGAGCGAGAACGGAGCGGGAGGAGCGGAGAGGATCGCGGGATGATTGACACGCCGCTACGTATACGCGCGCTAGTTCAATCGCATTTCCATTCGAGTAATTTGCAACTGTCAAAGCGATCGGATCTTTCGGTTAGTTGTAATGTATTGGTTGCGTTGCAACGACCGATGACAAGGCATGACGCGCATTAAACCCTCGGCGTTTAATGAGGATACATGTAGAATCTGTATAGAAAATCGAACAGATATCGGCGTTCGCACCCAAATCGATTTTTATGCCGTACGGTGGACGCTCCTCGCGCGAAGAGTATTAATATTCCTCTATCGTCGTGCAATGGTTATTCGTTTATCCGTATGTCGCTCGCATTTATCCTGCATGTCGCGCTACACATGCGAGGCACACACAGAGTTCAGAAGTAACGCCGTTACCGCTACGAGTTAATTCTTTTCCACTTTAACTTGGTAACGATGTCACTATTTCTTTTTGTTTTTTGTTTTTTTTCCATTAATTAGTACGGCAGTGTACATGTAACGCAATTACATGTTTTGAACAACGGTTGAGCAATAGGTATAATCGTTACTTTTTGAACAACAGTAAAACGAATTTATCGATGGACGGTCATCGATGTCGATCGCGCACGTAAATCCCGAATCGCACAAGACTGCAGCTGGGTTTTCGGCACTGATCGCGTGGCCAACCGCAGTTGGTGCACCGACATGTACACGCGTACATACGTATTTGCAGCGAATTATGTCAGGGGGGCGACGATAAAACACCGCTCAAACGCGGTTTAAGCGCGCCAAATGAGCCATTAATAGAAAATGCGGCTGAAATCGCGCGTTATCCCCCATTCGGTTGAGGGGATTTATGCGCGACCCTACGGACCGACGTGTGACGTACGACGTTTCTGGCGGTCTCTAGGCGCTCATAAATTACTTAATTAGCCACGCGCCGCCACCGTGTGCGGTTTGCGCGAAAAAGTTGGGTAACGGCG